TGTTGCTGCTGTTGCTGTTGCTGCTGCTGTTGTTGCTGTTGCTGTTATTGTTGCTGCTGTTGCTGCTGCTGTTGTGTTGCTGTTGCTGCTGTTGTTGCTGTTGTTGTTGTTGCTGCTGTTGCTGTTGTTGCTGTTGTTGTTGCTGCTGTTGCTGCTGCTGCTGTTGCTGCTGCTGTTGTTGTTGTTGTTGTTGTTGCTGCTGTTGCTGCTGCTGTTGCTGTGGTTGTTGTTGTTGTTGCTGCTGTTGCTGCTGCTGTTGTTGCTGTTGTTGCTGCTGTTGTTGCTGCTGTTGCTGTTGCTGTTGCTGCTGCTGCTGCTGTTGCTGCTGTTGCTGCTGTTGCTGCTGCTGTTGCTGCTGTTGCTGCTGTTGTTGCTGCTGCTGTTGCTGCTGCTGTTGTTGCTGTTGTTGCTGCTGCTGTTGCTGTGGTTGTTGTTGTTGTTGTTGCTGCTGTTGCTGCTGCTGTGGTTGTTGTTGTTGTTGTTGCTGCTGTTGTTGTTGTTGTTGTTGCTGTTGTTGTTATTGTTGTTAATGTTCTTACCTCGTAATGTCAATTTAGAATGCTGCATGTGTGTCATGCTGTAATGTACAAACAGCTCAGTGCGTGGTTATTACATGGTCTCTTATTGGATTATTACGATGAATTTTTCATCATGATGAAGTCTGCTACCAGTGCTGGTGCTATTACATCTGCTGAACAATCTGAGACTGAGGATGGCAAAAATGAAGAAAAACAAGTTCAGGTGTGTGAGTTTTCTTTCAAGACTTTCTTCTAAAGAACCTTGGATCTTACCTTTAGAAGTGGTTTCAATATTGAGTTGAGTTTTGCAACTCAATCATCTCATCAATGAAATCATCTAAACCAATATCAAGCCATCAATGAAATCATCTCAATCATCAGACCTTTAGTTTTGAGAGGCCAATTGCTCAAGGACAAATTGGTTAAATTTTGGTTAAAGTGTGACTAACCCCAAATAAAATGTTTGGTATGTGTAATATTTGGGTTACTCTAAGAAAAAATGTAATATGTCTTTATAGTAAGAAACCTCATCTTGATCAACTCTTTCACTGCCAAAGTTTTCATATATGATGTCATTAGGTGAATTTTTGGTACAAAAAATAAAAGAAAACTAATTTGTATTTCATGTAATGACATCATATCCGGAAAGTTTGACAGTGAAAAAATTGATCAAGATGACGAGTTTTTTTTTAGTTCTTATGGCATCTGTTTTCTTGCAAGAGAATTTTTTTGCATAAATCAGACACTTTCAACTTATCTTACTGAACCACTTCCTCTGTTTTGATGCTGTAGTTTTCCACAAACCAACATGTTAGCCTCTTGTACGTACTTATTTTAGCAGGAAAAGAAGCCAGCCAGTCAAAAAACTGCTGAGAGTCATTTCAGTTTAAACGCAGAAATGCTGCCATCGTATATTTCAACAAGTGTTGCCGAGAAGGTTTGTATGTCTACATGACTATCTAAGCTTTTTAAACAGTCGTTGCCAGTGTAGATAGCGACGAGCCAGTGTTGGTAGTTCAGAATTGACTTCCACTAACTCCTTGGCTGATTGATCAATTGGATATATCAAACACATCTGATTGGTTAATCGGATACATCAAACGCATCTGATTGGTTAATCGGATATATCAAATGCATTTGATTAGTTAATGGTCCCTTAATGGTAGCGGAAGTGAAATCTGAACCACTCTAAAACCCGCTCCCGACCTCCGCTAGTACTGTGGGTTTAACGCAGGTGTAAGGAGTTGAGGGCTGACTGTTTTTGCTACCCATGCCCGGATGCCATTTTTACTTTCTATTTTCTAATAAATTCTAAAAATGACGAATCGCAGGGCCGCAGGTTCTATTCCTGCGAGGGACCTAAAGTTGCATTTTTTCGCTTCTGTTTCTGGTTTGGTCTAATAAATGTATATAAATAGACAACTTGCATGTTAGACTAATTTTTGATCTAGGCAAAAAAAAGTAAATTCCCGTAAAGACTTATTAAAATTAGTAAAGTTGCAAAATTTGGTTATGAGATGTTGTAAAATACGGAAAATATAGCCTTGGGAAGTTTGCATTATTTTGTATATTTTGAGCCGAAAATGGTAACAATTTCCGCACGTAATACAAACATATACAAAATTTGCAAACTTTGCAAGGCTATATTTTCCAAGCTTTATAACATTTCGCAACCTGCAAATTTTGCAATTTTACTAATTTCATCATGTTCTTTTTAGCTTTTTAGCTATTCCCTTCTCTTTACTTAGATTAAAATTTAGTCTAACATGCAAGTTGTTCATTGCCACTCGATAATTTCCATCTACAATATACCCTTCAATCGAAATTTGAAAAGGACTGCGAAAGTCCTTCCTATCCCCTTTGATATCGTCGTACTTTTTTATATCTCTTTCTATCATTTTATACTTTATATCTTTCTTATATACGGTGTTTCCTCGATCTACTATGGCCAACCTATTGATCTATCAGTGAGTAAACGACGTATAACTTGTTAAATCTATAGATTCTATTTGTTGGGGAATCTGTGAAGATGCTGGAAAGCTCCATGTCGAAGTCTGCCGACAATCGCCGGGGTAAATATATAATATCTTGTTTCGAAATGGCCCACTGGAGAAAAATATTGATTCCTCTGTGTGTCGTTTGTCAAGACCAACTGTCTTCATTTGTTTGTCCAATAATGAGTCATGACCCCTCAGACAAATGTTGCATCTTACTGGATGTTAAGGTTAATTCATGGTTTTGGTTCAATCTAAAGGCCCATTTCCACTCAGGAAAATTTTCCGCAGAAAGAAAATTTTGTAAAATGTGATTGGCCGACACAAATTTTCCGTCGGAAAATTTTTTTGAAAATTTTCAACTTTTAACAATGATATTTTCATATACTTTATTTTTCTTAGATGCAGTTATGAAAGAGAACGAGATAGAGTTCGGGCGATCTTTGCATAAATTACAACAGGAACCCACCTTTCATTTGCCGTCTTTTGAAAAGGAAATTGACAGGATTAAATCACGCATTGCTGAGGTAAATATACTTAGATAGGGTTAGCTTTGTGTGATGGTTTTCCAAACTTGGAGAGGTTTTCTTCAGATATTTAATTTATTAACTTTGCCAGATAGTATTAACAGTTATTACAAAGTAATAATTTAACGAATTAACTAGACTATATGGCAGGGTATTCGCAACAGCGATTAGCCAATTACTGCGAACCCAAGGACAATACGTTAACATCAAATAGCAAAAAAA